GAGTCGAGCTCGGTGGACGCCAGGTCAGACAGTGCCTTTCTTTATGTCTGAAATTTGTGCTGGCTAAAAATAGGCGGTTATCTGAGCATAGTTGTAATAGGCGATCACCGTTATCTGTACGTTCAGCTGGGATTCCGAAAGTGCCACCTAAGTGCCTTTCTGCCTCACTCAGTCTACCCACCTGTGCGTTGAGGTCACCTGCAACAACCACTACGTCCGAACGTTTGGCTTTCGAGAGGAGGTTAGACAGTTTATGGTAGAACTCGTCCTTCACTTCATCCGAACTACAGTCAGTGGGTGCGTAAGCAGAGATTACAAAGAGACAACGGCGAGTCTCACTATTCCTTTTAGTTCTCACTGTGCCGTTCAGCCTCATAGCGCAGAGGCGACTATCAACTGGGATCCAGTCTAGTAGTGAGTTTTCTGCCCTGGTGCTTAATGCTATACCTACACCTGCAAGACCACGAGAGCTAGCTATCGAATCTCCAGAAACTCGAAGGGTGAATTTTGCAGATTCACCAGATTGGTCAGGAGAGGTCAGGTGAATAACCACACTTGGGTCCTGTATGCGTGTCTCACAAACACAGCACACATCCATGCCTCGAGTTGCTAGAGTCTTTGCCAACGAAGCCTGTTGGCCAATTTGACGGAGGGTGCGGACATTGAAGGCTCCAATATGTAATTTGGAGCGTGGTTTAAGGAGACCAGGGACGCTGTTCTGTGGACTCAGATCGTTGTCGAAGGCTGCAGAGGTAGGAGAAATTGAAGATGATGCAGCATCATTAATTAAGAGACGTGAAGGAAGATTAGAAGGTAATGATGGAGGAGGAGGATAGCAGTCAGAAGAAACTTGGGTGCTGACAGAGTTGTGAGGGCGGTTGACACTTCCCGGCTGCCCACACCGTGGAAGGCTATTTCTTCTTAAGGTACCTGAAAGAGATTTGTGTGACCGCAGAGCCCATCGGACATCTGCTTGAGGCCTGTCACACCCAGCCTTTTGAGTATGATTATTTTGAATTTTTGTATTTTTGGGGCCGGATGAGCGAAAGGAAACGACAAGTGAACCAACACCGCCGGCCCGGCAGACCGTGGGGCGTGGTGGAGTGTGTTATTTTTGGGGCCGACCTTTTCTAACCCCCCTTCCACTGAGAAGGCAGCATCAGCTTGGCACTGCTGGTCATCCAAGGGAAACACCTTACTGCTGTCACACCCCATCCAGCTAGCAGCAGTACGACTTCGCCCTCAGACCCCCATCATAGTGTAGCAATTTACACTATAACGGTAACTGCTTTTCGTCTAACCACTACCCAACAGACCTTTCTGGTATGGTAGGACCTCGAGGGAACAAGCGTTCCACCAGCATAGCTCGTTGGGTCATTGTGATATGCAAGCCCGACCACCACGTCAAGGTAGCAGCTATCGGTAGGGGTTAGCATGCAAAGAACCAGTGGATATAGAAAGAGTGATATCAAAGTAATCAAAGGTGTATGGGAGGAAGAAATATTTGGAAATTAAATTAAGTGAAAACGTTCTCTCACTAAAACATATCAAATAGTGAATACATCCGCGTCATTGTGATTCATTTTTGGCCATGTTACCAAACGGTCTTCAGTTATGAATTCCTGTCGTCTCGAGCATTCCAATGAGACATGCGCGTGCATGCGCGATACCTTTCCGAGCCAAGTATTTAGATATATCACTGGTGAATGCCAAACAAACCTTTTCATATTTAGGCTGAAATTTCGTCTACGACCATCCATTCAAGCTTGTACAACTGCTTAAGTAAGTGAAGCGGTAGACGCATTCAACCACTTCTCTTTCTATCACTAAACTGGAAGTACTCACGGATCAATCAGTTCTGGAGCATCATATTACATTTAACAGGTGTGAAACGCATGCCATGCATATTCACAAGACCCTGGATTTTTTTGTCGGGTCAATATCATTTGCATACTCCAAGGCAACCAGATACCCGCCACATAGTAAGTTAATCCCTATTAGTACCTGATAGTGGTCACTTAGTAGATAACAGAAATCTACCATATACCACCTAATCTTTCGAAAGGTATTCAAACTCGTCTTCAACACAGGAGGGGCTGTGATAATTCAAGCTAGTAATCCTAGTCCTTGTATCCAGAAGAAGAAGAAGTTTGTGCATCCCTCCTTTCTCTCTCCCTTGGTCAGGTAATATGTAAAAAACAGCTTCATCATTAAAATTCTTCAATTACTTTCTTATTCTTCACCCCTTTCACATACTATATTTACTTAGAATTTGTTTACCCACTCACTGCTTCGTTGATTGACTGACTGGCAGACAAAACCAACGTATAACCTCACATACAAGTGAATCATTTCAAGTTGCCAATACTTCACAATAGCACACCAAGAACAGGTGGATAGAAAAGGAGTGATATCAAAGTAGGTAAAGTAGTGTGAGAGAGTAAACAATCTGAAGATAAAGGTTTGTGTGAATATTCAAGCTTTAGATATCAGAGAATGAATACATCTACGCCATTGTCACCAACAGTCCTCAACCACTGATTCCTTTCTTCTCGAAGACACCAATTAGGCAGTTTACATCTCTGAACACGACTGATAGCAACAATCGCGAACTTTGTCGATTGGTGCCAGGTCTTGATCTGGTTACTCTGGACCCTCTTCCATCTTAATCCAACTTCTCCTAGACATGGCACATCGAGGTTGGCGGTGGGTCGGCATGCATAGTACATGTCGAAGCTGTCTCAGCCGACTAAGGTTCATAACCTCATCAATCGACTTGCCTGTCTTACCTAGTACCTTTTGCCTGACCTCAGCATTACTCACACAGTGATTCCACTACACACGAGCAATGATCTTAACCCTGTAACGGCTTCATGTCGTCTACTTTCAGCGGCCTTGTCTGACTCGTAGAATAGTACTGAACGAACTGTAACGCAGTATACTTGTCCTTTGGTAGATAACACGCTCGCCAGCCAGCGCCGCAGGTGACGCAATTTGGCAAATGCTGAGGCGGCCTTCTGTAACCGAGCTGAGATTTCGTCGCCAACCAGCCAGTTCGATCTGATGCAACTCCCGAAGTGAAGGAAGTAATCGACATGTTCCATCATTTCACTTCCTACCATTAAGGTGAAAGTCGTTGCAAACCAGTCCTTCATCATCATCTTACATTTGATAAGCACCAGCGAAACCCATGCCAAATATACGCAAATTCCTGTTCAAGGCGTCCAGAAAACCCTGGATTTTGTCAGCGTCTTCACGTAACAGGACAATATCGTATGCATATTTCTCCCGGAGTGTAGGTCAATCCCCGCGAAGTTAACTAAGAACGGTGACAGTGGACATTCCTACTTCCTCCGTTGGTGTTGCGCAACTTCTATTCTTCCAAGCAACCTCTTAACTCAATTTAATTATGGAAGTGTTTAAATTATCATGGTGTTTCTTTCTTTTTGTTCTCGTCGTCATCACCGTCATCTGTATTACAACTGCCTTATTCTACACTGACATTATGGCCGTTAATGTCATTATTGTTGTTATTACATGTATACATATGTTAACTGTTTATATTAGAGTAAAACCCGAAGAGGACCTAATTAAGAACAGTATTGTTCACTTATGTCTCTTGTTGTATTTTACATGATGGTTTACTTTAGTATTCTTGAAATGAAAAGGCTAACTGTTCTCTATCTAGGGTTTTTTGATTTTGTCTCTAATCTTTCAACAATCTCTTTCCGTCTCTTTATTGTTTATTCAAGAATGGTTTTGTTTGCATTGATTCAGTGACTTGTTGGTCTGTGGTGTTTTAGGGAGATGAAGACTTGTGTGGAACCATAAAGACGACATGAATCAGTGGTGGAGGTCTCGTAGTGACATGGCTGAAAATCGTTCACGATGGCGAAGATGTACTCCATTCTTGTTGTCTTCTTGAGTCCGAATATTTTCACCAACCTTTATCTTCCAATCCGTTCCCCTATCATACACCTTTTTGTCTACTTCGATATGAGTCTTTTTCTACCCATCACTTGTTCCTTGAATGTTATTGTGAAGTGTGGCGAATTGAGGTGATGCACTTGTTTACGAAGTTCAACATTGATCTGTCTGTCTACTTAGTCCTTGACTTATACGAAGGATTTATGTAAATACGCTAAAGGATTATGAGATGAAATTATAAACTGTATACACCAACTTCAGAAATGATCAACGTTCCAACTATCTGAGGTAGCCATAGTTTGAGAGACTAGTATTGTATATTGCGTAATAATTGAAGGTGCAATGAAAATTTGAACCGCGGCCGGATTCGAACCACCGACCACCAGGTTTCCGGCCCGATGCTCTACCAACTGAGCTACGAGGTTCCAGCATAAAACCAGTCTGCCAAACTGCGGCAATCTGATATAGTCAAAGTGATAAACAATATAATACTTTTTCTCTCTAATTCAGTTACATTTGGATTTGGATGAGAAGTTGTGACTGTGGGCAGCCAGTGTGAATGCGATCAAGCAGCAGTAACGCGTTACGGATCGACATAGTGATTCGGCCAAAACTTATAGTGACTGAAGCGAAATAAATATCTGGTCAGCAGTCGGACCTCGTTGTTCACTTGGTAGAGCATTGAGCCGAAAACTCGGCGGTTTGAATCTGGCTGCGGTCCAAATTTTCATTTCACCTTCAATCATCACCCAGTATAGATTAATATTTCTTCCAGTTATTCATTTACTTGTTCTTATACATTGACAATTACACTAATTTTATTTATTACATGTTGTGTATCATTTATTCATTGTCCAATGATATTTCTGCATGATAGCCTAGTCACTGACTGATCATAACTGCAAAAAATATCCACTATATATATATATATATATATATATATATATATATATATATATATATATATATATATATATATATATATATATATATATCAACGTGTATATGTAATTGTGTTAGCACACACGAATAAGAATTAGTAAGACTAATAATGCATTTGAATTCATTTTTAGATTTGTTGTCCGAGTCGAATGAAGATATTCCTGCAGAACATAGAGTTTTGTTTACTGATCTATTTTCTGTAGACTCAAAAGATGACAAATTTATTGGGCAACTATCTGAAATAAACACTTGTAAGCCTTATCATAATTATTTTAATGTTACGTGTTTAATTGCATAGAGATTGATTTGTCTTTCTTAATGTTTTGCGGAATAAATAGAATATTCTCTGTTTATTTAGCAGTGAAGTACTATTCAAATCTTGGTTGATGAATTAATGGTTCAATTCCAATGACTTACAGTGGGAATAAGATCATTCATTAGGATGCAAGTACTACATTCTAGCTGTAATACACATCGTTGGTTCTACTGCTAGCCAGCTCAAAATTATTTACATATTGTAACAGAGGTGGATCAATTCTTTTCAGACTGTCAACAGGAAATTACTGTTATCAAGAAATAATCATACTGATATAGTTGCTAAAGGATAATTTAATAGAGGAAAAAAAGTGATAAACACTTATTATTCTATGCGTATTATGATAACTGACTCGGTTGATTGTATGTTAGTTGGTTGAAGGCAGTTGGCATGAAGCCCCTACTCGTGTTGTTGGTACTTGTTAGCAGGGCGACTGACAAACAAAATCATCGTAGAACCTCACATACAAGTGAATCATTTCAAGTTGCCACACTTCACAGTAGCATACCAAGAACAGGTGGATAGAAAAGGAATGATATCAAAGTAGGTAAAGTAGTGTAAGAGAATAAACAATCTGAAGATGATAGTTAGTGCAAATATGTAAGGTTTCGAATATATCAAGGAATGAATAGATCTGCTCCAATGCTACTGGATTTCAGCGATATCACTAGAAGTCAGTTTTCAACCACTGATGACTTTCGCCTCAAGAACCCCAACCAGACAGTCTTCATCTCAAGCCAACAGTCAGGGACTTCATTGAGTGGTGCCACGTGCTGGTCTGCCCATCCTGAATCCTTTTCTAACCTAAACCAGTTTCTCCTAGCATGGCACGTCGAGGTAGGTGGTGGGTTCGCGTGCAAAGTACATGTCCAGCCCATCTCAGTCGACTAAGGTTCACACCCTCATCAATTGACTTGCCGGTCTTGCCTAGTACCCTTTGTCTGACTTCAACATTGCTCAGACAGAGATTCCGCCTCACCCGAGCAATGCTATGAAGATATCTATGGTCAACAATCTGTAACGTTTCATGTCGTCTAGTTTTAACAGCTATGTCTGACAGCCATAGAACAGGATGGAACGAACTGTAGCGCAGTATACTCATCCTTTGATAGGTAGGTAGATATGTCGCCTGTCAGTCCCATAGGTGACGCAAGTTGGCCAATGCCAAACGGACCATCTGTATCCGAGCTGAGATTTCGTAAGAGAAGTGGTCAGTGCGTTCAGCTACTTCACTCCCTATCATTAAGCTGGGAGTATTTGCAGCAGACCGGTCCTGCAGCATCACCTTACACATAAGATGTACCAATCAAACGCATGCCAAGCATACTCAAATTTCTACTCAAGGCGTCCAGAAAACTGCATTTTGTGATCGTTTTCATATAGCAGGACAATATTGTGTCCATATTCCAAGTCAACTGGATGCCCATCCGGAGTGTAGGTCAATCCCTGTGAAGTCAGACTTACCTGAGTTTATGTCTGTTAGTACATCTATAAAGAAGCTATTTAAAAACGGTGGTAGTGGACTTCCTTGCTGGATACCACTAGTTATTGTCAACTCACTTGACAACCAACCAACTGATGTCCTTTCTGTAGTAGGAACCCGCGTCACTCCATGCGGGACTCGGTGATGTGACTGCTAAGCTATTCGGCCGCGATTGACCTCCTGTGAGACTAGTGGTTTGGATACACTTTGTATTGTGTCCGTTGACAATGTTTCCCTAGGAACTTCCCTTGGAGTTTCAAATACCTGATAAAAATCACGTCGAAGATGCGGGTCGTTTTTCTCGTAGTTTAACAGTGATATATGAACGGTTTTCATGATATACAATGCACATGTACTGAAGCAGTTGCAGACATCTGAGTGATTACTCGTAATCTTCTAGTCAGGCGACTGGATAACATAAGCTTCCCAACAGTTGAGCGAAATACTCGGACTTCTAGAAATTTTAAGTGAGAGTAGGCATCAATCACACTAACCTTTATCTTCAAATTGTTTATTCTTTTACACATAACTTTGTCTACATTGATGTCAATCTTTTCTTACCCATCTGTTCATTGTATACTACTGTGAAGTGTGGCAACTTGAGTCGATGCACCTGTGTGTGAGATTCTACGTCGGTTTTGTCAGTCAGTCAGTCGCTAACTGTGGTTGGTTACAAAAGTCAAGCTCGTTGAGAATGTCGCAATGAGTATTAGTAGCTAACCAGTATGGCTTATTCGATAAAAAAACTCAAATAGAGCTAGTATCTAATCGACCTGTTGTGAAAAACGTACGATCAGTACTCCAGCTTCAAGGCAAAACAGTACTTTGTTGAACAGCGAATCTATGAAGAGAATATATCCGGTAGAATTAAGATCAAATGATTTCAGTTATTGGTGGTTAGGACTATAAAACACGAAAAGTGTTGTTTAATTCGTTAACAGCCATTTCTACCCTAATATTTGTATTGTACAACTGATTAGGTCGCATAACTAGCTACTGGTTAGTTTTGATAGAAATCATATTGGAATAAGATAATGTAGGGGGAAAATGACAGCCGTTTACCACTTTCATCCTCACACAATCGATATGGTAACAGGTTTTTAGCACTGATCACAGTTGGTTATTTATTAGTACTTGTGATCCCCCCTTGCAATTCTGGATAGAATTACACTATCGAGACATTCATATAACAGCTCATACGCTTATACATGTTGGTTAATTTGACCTGTAATAAAAATGGGAAATTAAAAGTATAAATAAATAATCATAAAAACTGATATCCGTTGCGCAAAAGGTGATTCTCATACCTCGATATGCCATTCTATCGGAATTTAGATTTGGTTAGAAGAGAGTTCACGGTGATCAGATCAAGATGTGGCACTAGTCGATGAAGTCTCCTACTGTTGATCTGAATCATGTGAAGCGATGTGGACTACCTGGTTGGGGTTCTTGAGATGAAAGGAATCAGTGGTTGGGGGTTCGTGACAATGGCGCAGATTTATTCACTTCTTGACATCTTTGAAAGCTTGAATATTTGCACTAACTTTTATCCTCAGATTGTTTATTCTCTCACACTACTTTACCTACTTTGATATCAGTCCTTTTCTATCCACCTGTTGTTTGTGTTTGAATCGTCACAAATTGAGGTGATGCGTTTGTGTGTGAGGTTATACGTTGATTTTGTCAGTCAATGTCTCATATCAGTGGGTTTGTGCATAGGGCTTTGACGTTTTAAGCGATGTGTTCTGTATCCAAATCTCACTGGAGTACGCAAGTACACGCAGCTGATGAGTGCCCAATAGAACGAAATGTGCGTCAAGCTCGATTCCGCTGCTAGTCACTACCAAACTAATTACTACATACTGAATTAATTAGAGTTTATGCAACTAGACTATTACTGTTTTGCAAACTCTACATCTCAATTCTGTAATTAGTATCGATATAATCTACAAAGAGTTAATCTTTTCCACTTGTTTTGTATCTATGCTTTAAGCTTCTGTGAATTCGAGAAATAAAAGTGGATTCGCTGCTGAATGGGATGCTGTATTCGGTGAAATCGATCAACAGTCATGTCAAAATGATGATTTTGGCCCTATGCAGAGCGTCAGTACAAAAGTAAGCAGAATATGTAGGGATGATTCGCAAAAATATTTGACTAGAGTATAAGACTTTTTTCCCCTTTCATCTTATTGATTGATGTTAAAGTGTCTAACTCACTGATGTGTATGTGTGTTTGTATTTGTGTTTGTACGTAAGCGTTTTGTGAACTATTAGGTGGATTAATTGAACGCGTATTTACTGATCAGATCGACTTGAGATATTTTTTCAAACAAAAATTGCACTATTGATCACTCGAAGAAAAAATGGCAGCGACTGAGCAGTGAACAGCTGTGACCAGCAGCAATCAACTAACTACTTTGATAGCAATCCAACAGCTATTTGATGATGTGCAAGAAAGTGAATTTCGCTCACTTTGTTCTATGAGCCTTAGTCGACTGAGATGGCCTGGACATGTACTACCCACCCCACCGCCTACCTCGATGTACTATGCCAGGGGGGAAGTTGCATTAAGATGGAAGAGAGTTCTGGTTAATCAGTTGAAAACCTAGCACCAATGGAAGAAATCTCTAACTGCTGGTCTGAGCCTTGTGTGTAGGTGTAGGCCGCCTGGCTGGGGGTTCTCGAGTCTGTAGGAATCAGTGGTTGCGGACTGACTCCTCTTGACATCGCTGAAAATTGGTCGCATTACCGTAGATGTATTCACTTCTTGACGTCTGTAGTGAAGTGTAGTGACTTGAGATGATGTGAAGTTCTACACTGATTTTGTAAGTCATTCAGTCAGCTTGTTCCGTGACATAAGCTGAAAAGCGATGTTGATTAGTTTTGAGCGAAATTCGCGAAGGCAACAGTTGTGCAAGCTGATTAAAGCTGATTTCACCCAGTCAGCATTAGTATGAGATCTGGAATTACTGGGTTAATGGTTCAACACAACACACTTTGAATCAAAATATCAACACTGGAGGCACCAAGATGAAAAATGGAGAAATAAGTAGGAAAGTAACCAAAAGTGGTAGAAAGTTGTAAGAAGCGAGAGAACAAGAGTAACGAAACAACCAAATGATTGAAATGAAAAACACTAGTGTGTGTGGATACATTTGTCATTGAGATACATTCTGAGCCATATAGCTTAGAGTCTCCTACCACCGAGTTCGGTTGTTGCGTGGACCCCAGCCAAGATTATTATTATTATTAGTCCCATGGGTTTCTAATGGAACATAGGGCTTCAGTAGCACGTCTCCAGTGACCTCTGTTCTCTGAAATCTTTTGAACCTGGTTCCACGACAGCCCACAAACTCTCACTTCCTCCTCACACGACCTCCTCCATGTCATCCTCGGACGTCCAACTCGTCGCTTCCCATGGGGATTCCACTCGAGCAACTGGCCTGATGCGTGATGTCCTCAGTCGGCCTTCTCAGTGCATGCCCAATCCATCTCCACTTCCTTCCAGTGCATATTTGTTGTGTGATAGGTTCTTGGTTGGTTCGTTCCCAGAGTTCCTTGTTGCTTATTCTTTCTGGCCATCTGATCTTCAGTAGCAAGCCAGCCTAGGCAGTTTTTGATGAATGTCTGTAGTTTGTTGGAAATGCCTTTCGTAAGGCGCCAAGTCTCTGAGCCATACAGAAGCACTGACTTGACGTTGGTGTTGAAAATCCGGATGTTGTTCCACATGCTGAGTGCAGGAGAGCTCCTGACTGGTTTCAGGCTAATGAACGCCTGTCTTGCTTTTCCGATTCTGACTTTGACATCTTCGTCTGTGCCGCCTGTAGTTGAAAGAGTGCTTCCTAGATAGGTGAAGGAGGTTACCTCCTTTAAGTTTCTCCCGTTGATGGTGACTGGAGTTTGTTGTTGTTGGTGGTGCGATATCTTCATCACCTCTGTCTTCTCTATATTCACTTGAAGTCCCGTCTTCGCTGCCTCGCCTCTTCTGTCAACTTGTTAGTTTTCGCCTGTAGATCTTCCAGTTTATGTGACATCAGGCACAAGTCGTCACTGGCGAAATCCAGATCTTCTAGGTTGTTTTCTTCAGTCCAGCGTATCCCCCTCTTCTCTCTCCCCACTTTTTGCTGCATGATCCAGTCGACCACAATCAGGAATATCATGGGGGATAGTAGGCAACCTTGTTTCACTCCTGTCTTCACTTCACTTCACTTCAAAAGCATCACTGAGCTTCCCACTTGGCATGTGGCGTCTTCATATAGTTGTTGAATGAGGCTGATAAAGGTTTGCGGTACTCCGTATTAATGAAGCAGTTTCCAAATTACTTCTCGGTCGACGCTGTCATAGGCCTTCTCAAAGTCGATAAAGTTGAGGTAGAGAGCTGATTGCCATTCTATACTCTGTTCTATGATGATGCGAAGCGTTGCAATTTGGTCTGCACATGATTTGTACTTCCTGGAGCCTGCCTGTTCCGGTCGTAGTTTTGAATCCAGTGCATCCTTAAGCCTCTCCAAGATGATGCGTTTTAATATTTTGCTTGCTTTGGCTGGACAGGAGAGTGATTCCTCGCCAGTTCTAGCAAACACTGAGGTCTCCCTTCTTCGGCAGTTTGACAAGGTAACCCTTCTTCCCATTGCCGGGTACCTTCTCTTCCTTCCACACCTTCTGCAATAGTGGTGTGGTGTGAGCATGTCCGCTGTTGTCTCTGCGTCTGTTCTCAGTGCTTCTGGCGGTATCCCGTCTGGTCCTGCTGCTTTCCCACATTTCAGTAGCTTTATGGCGTTCAGGACTTCCATTTTTGTTGGAGGATTTATGTTCACTTGTAGTTCAGCGGCTGGGCTGTAGGTGGTATTTCTGGACGAAATGCAGATGGTGGTTGATTCAAGAGCTTCTTGAAGTGGTCGGCCAATTGTTTCCTTTGTTTCTCTTCTTTCGTAATTAAATTTCCTTCATCATCTTTTATAGGTTTCATCTGCGTTGATCTTTTCCCGGATGGCAACCTGGTTATTTGATACAATGTTGTCAGGTCTCTCCTACCAACCTGCAGCCTATTCTGCTTCACTTGCCAGTGTTTCGTAGAAGTGTCTTTTGTCTTTGTGTGCACTCTTCTTCACTTCTTTGTCCAGTGTTTTATACATCGTGCTCAGTTCCTCTTGTCGTTGAGCATCCTTGCACTGGTTTATCTTCTGCTTCAACATCACCATCTTCCTTTCCCTGCTCTATCAGCTTCCATGTATCCATCGAGATCCATTCCTTATCTTCTTTCTTCTTCCTTCCTAATACGGCTGTGCAGGTTTCTTTCCACATCTCTTCCAAAGACTTCCAGTGTTCCTCCATACAGGTTTCTTCAGGAATGTTCCTCGGTATCTCCCATTTTGTCTTGATGACTGGCTGCCGTGAAGATTTCCTTTGTAGTTTGATCCTTCAGTTTCCGAGTGTTGTACTTGAATTGAGGTCTATCACCAGCTTCCTTGAAGGCTTTTAACTTGATTCGGAAGGTAGGTTCCTTGCACTGGATAGTGAGTGGTGTGAACCTACATCTGCTCCTCTTCTTGACCTTGTGTCAAGTAGACTGCGTCTCCATTTTCTTGAGATTGAGATAAAGTCGATTTGATTCTTAGTGTAGTGTGTCCATCTGATGAAATCGAATCCATGTGGCTTTGTGGATATCCTTGTGCTTGAACACACTGCCTCGCCTCCAATCACCAAATCTTTGAATGCACAGAATTCTGCATACAGTTCTCCATTCTCGTTCATCACCTCACCGAGCGCTTCTCAACCCATGGTTAGTTCTCTTCCTGTGTTGTCCCCTCCCAGTCTGGCATTCATGTCACCCATTAGAATTTTGATGTCATCAACTAGGATGTGATCTTGTCCAGTGTTGATTGGAGTTGTCTGTAGAATTCCTCCTTTTTCTTTTGCTCTGCATTATTTGTAGGTGCACAGCGTAGCATTGTATGATTGTGACCTTCCTTCCTTCCTTCCTTTTGAATTGAATCTTGCTGTCATGATCCTTATCGTTGAGGAGATTGGTTCCCACTGCATGAGAGCCTTCGATGCTGTTGAAGGGGACATCATGATAGCCACTCCATAACTCAGTGTGCTCGTGGTTGTCGTCTGGGTGACAATATCGGAGTAGATTATTGATTCTGCAGTTGACAGTTTGGAGAGTCCACTCCCATTCCATCTGCTTTCGCAAATTCCAAGCACTTCAATGTGACACCTTCTCATCTCTTTTGCAATCTGGGCTGCCTTGCTGGGTTCAAACATGGTGGGGACATTCCATGTCCCCACGTTTACTTTCGCTTTGATCGAGAGAAGGGGAGACACATCGGCCAATTGGCTTCCTGAAGGCAGGCTTTCACCAACTGGCATCATTTCGCCTCTCCGATTCCAGCGAGGGATAATTTTGTTGTTATTTTTTATATATCGTTTGTGCTTTGAAGTTTGTTTAGCGGTTAGATTTGTTATACGGGGTAGGGTTGCTAGCCCTATGCCCAACCTTCCCTCTTTACCCATTACAATTACAAACATGAATAAATTATCACTATTATTTGTCCTTTGGATTCGTAGTTGAACATAGGGCTTCAGTAGCTTGTCGCCGTTTCACTCTGTTCTCTGGAGTTTTTTAACCTGGGTTCACGACTGCCCATAAACTTTCATTTCTTCCTCGCATGCCTAACTCGTTATTTCCCATTTGTTTTCCACCCGACGATCTGCCTAGGTAGGTGAAAGAGACAACTTTCTTTAGATTTCTCCCGTTCATGGTGATTGGTGCTTGTTGTTGTTGATGATGGTTGGGCATCTTCATCACCTCTATCTTCTCTACGTTCAACTAAAGGAAGTCCCGTCTTCGCTGCTCTGCCTCGCCTCTTCTGCCAACTTCTTAGTTTCACCTGAACATCTTCAAGTTTGTGCGACACTAGACATAAATCATCATAGGCAAAATAAAAATCGTATAGGGTCTTTTCATCGGTCAAACAGCGCATGCCCATCTTCTCGGTCCTCATAGTTGTTTCTTGCATGATCCAGTCCAGTCGACCACAATCAGGAAGATCATCGGTGGTCAATGAATAGTAGTATCATTATATTGTTGTTGTCATCAGTTAACTTGACGGTTGCTCAACCGCTTCTTTTGGTGTTCCAGTCAGTCGAGTGATGATCATTAGTCCAACAGGTGAACATCCTCTGAAGGTCATGGATGTTTTTGATCATCACAATGCACTTTGATTTTCTGTTTCATTTTTCTACTAGGATACTTTCAGAACACCGATGCTTCCTTCACATTTACTCGAAAAGGAATTACAAGAACTTTTCACTTCAGTCAAACCTAGCATGAATGCTATGCAACAACCAATAAAATTGTCTACGGAAACTACTGTCAGTCAAAGTGTTTCTCCATTAATTTGTAACAAACAATCAGAAGAACAGATTGAAGAGAATAAAAAGTCTTTGGGGGTTAGCTCAAATGCTGGAAAAACAACATTGAAACAGGTAGCTGATAATTAACTGTGTTTGTTTCAGTATATATCCCTGTATTCTCTTCAAAAGACTTGAACTTTTTAGAGTGGTCTAGGATTATTCAACTGACGTTGTTGAGGAGTTTTAACGTTGGCGTTCATGTTGGACAGACATCAGTTGGAGAACCACTGAAAACCCAGGAGCACCGAACAACCAGCTGTTTCATCCTAATATAGGACTCCGCCCCACCAGGGGGTCGAATCCAAGAGCTTAAGGTCTTTGGGTGAGCATTTCACCACTAAGCCATGCAGTCGAAATTCAGTGATTTACACTTTACTAATTCTGTCACCTTGTGATATAGTTCAGCCTTCATCCAATATCATCGTTGAGTAAAACTGTCTTCACGTTCGACTTGGTTTACCATATCGGTCATGACTCTACATCAAAACGTCAAGAAATCTCATCTCAAAACAGACCACTGATGTGGACTGGATAGGAACTCAATTTGAAGGTTTGTGGGTGTTTTACGATTTCAAGTTGGTTCAGTGATAATGTACTGGCTATGGAAACTGAAGGTCCTTATACTGACGTGTACTGGTGAGGAATGGCGTATTAAGACAAAACAGCTATCCATTGGTTCTCCAGCAGATGGCAACCAAACCGTGACGAATACTAACTTGAAATCCCTACGAACCTCCAAACAAATAGATTTGTTATAAAAAAGAAGCACCACCTATATGTAGAAGATGAGTTCGAACTTCATTGGGAAGGGTGATCGATGGAATGCTTTAAATTCCTTTTGAACGCTTTCGTTTTTACCCACTGTCAACTAGATGCTACAAAATAGAGCTGCTTATAGATTTAACGTGTCCTTTGCCCCAGTCACGAAGGTAGGCAGGTGTTTGGTAATACGTTGATCAAGTTGCCTAGTTAGTTGTATGCTCTATTAAACTATCCACAGTAGCAGTTAAACTGTTCATACACATGGAAGTGGCAGAACTAGGTAACTTATCTTTCGTTTGTGACATTAAATGAATTGTCGACTGGAAAACGATCGACAGAGACTACTAGCTGCAAAAAGCGTTCTTTTATCCGTCCTCGATAGTCTGCGGATGATGAATTCAAAAAGAAACTGTAACTTATTCTGTAGAGCAACATCTGAGCAGATTTCTCTTACTCTAGCTGTCAAATATTTCACTGAATTTCATTTGCATTGAATACGTGTAGAAATAAGGGAGTGTGCTTATTGGACATACAGATTTGCTGCTTCTGCGAAGTGAGTCATCTCTTCGTCTACTTACTAGAAAGAAAACCAAGGAAGTTTAGCTTCTTATTATTGTTAAAGACTCCTCAATAGTTCATTCTTATCTATATCCTGATCAGTGATAATGAATATGTCATCCACCTAACATCCTTCACTAGTTTGGCTAGAAAGAAGTCTATAAGGATTACGAATTATGTTGAATCCATTACGATTCCGTTCACTTGTCTGTAACGTGCTGAGGTGACCGAGTGAAAGTATAAGAAGTATGTGAACGATACTAACACAATGAGATGCGTGGACTGGATAGGAAGCTTATACTTCACTGAACCGTGAAAGTCAGAAGACCGGCCTGTGAGACTGTAAGCAAGACATTTTCTTCAACAACTTATTCTGATTGGTCAATCGTAGGGGAAAATTGTCCAATAAGCATTTTCTTGACTACATAGTAAAATGATAAAAAGGTTGAAAAATAAAACTTCATGTCTTTAGTGATTGATTACTAAAATCTGGATCAACCACTTTGAAATTTTATGATATGGAAAGTTATACATATTCAAGACTGGACGATTTTCATGGATGTGACTCGGTTTTTCTTCATCGCACACAACTAGAGCCTTTTATGCTTCAATGAACTTCACAGTAAATCACATTCGAACATATCAAATAGATCTGAAATTTTGAATCATGATTATGCAAGTGTGGAATTTAATGCCTTAATATAGGCGTAAAACTTATTATACTGATTGAAATGGCTCTAGAGGCAGTTAGAAATGGGCTTAATGATGACAGTGAGCTTTATGCATTGAGGAAAACATGCTGGGAGTACGATTGTGCCTAACTTCTGGGGTTTTAAATTAAGGCCTAAAACATAAACAAACTAAAGGCATTGCCATGGGATCATCAATATCTCCTATCGTCGTAGACATATTCTTGGGAACAAGTAGCCCTGCAAACATTTAATCCTATTCCAAAGATGTAGTTCCGATAAGTAGATGACATATTCAAAGTGTTGAAATCAGAACACATCAATAGGTTATGAACACGCATAAGTTCAGTAGTGAATCCAATCCAATTTACCTAAGATTTAGAAAGTGATGAAGGTGAGTGAGCTAGTATTGTTGCATTGAAAGATTAAACGAAAACAGAACAAGAGTTTAGAGACTAGTGTCTCTAAGAAACCTTTCTATTCGAATCGTTACTTAGACTTCGAGTCATCTCATTCTATCTCAGTTAAAGTAGGCTTAGTTAAATACCTAAGTGATAGGACGGAAAAGCTTATTATTATTACATATATGACAAGAAATTTGGCATATCAAGAATACCTTGCGTCTCAATAATTATCCATCTAATTTTATCAATAAATTCATAAGAAATCTTTAAAAAAATATTAGCAGTAGTAGTCGTCGTAACGCAGGTGTTATGCATAGTAATTCTACTACTAATAGTAATAATGGTGGCAGGGTGAAAAGAGAATTCAAAGCCTCTATTGTGTTACCATACAAAGAAGGCATCTCATAAGAATTACAAAGAATTCTCAATAGGGCGGCTGGCTGGGAATAAAGTAGCATTCAAGCCAAAAAAACTCGCCTAGGAACGAGCTCTGTCGCTTGAAAGATTCTATTGATGCAATTGAGCAAAGTAATCTGGTTTACGAGATTCCTTGTAATTATTTCTAGGTCAAATGCGTAGATAAAAGTGGTCAACTAGGGTCGACTAGAATAACAGAGCACAAAAACTTAGCTAAATCAAGATTAGTAGATCGTAATAAGATAAGAAATTTGGAAGAAAGCCCTGTGGGATAGAACGATAATGTGAAAGAACTGACTTAGTTTAGTGGAGGGAGGGACCGATAGCTGAATCTTTGTTTATCGTAGGGCAGGGGATTTTATGCGTTTGTTTAGTGGGCATGCAGCCCTTGAATTACCAAGTGGAAGTCTAGTAAATATGGCATAACCATCTTCATTCCGTAGTTGGTTGGTCCGATGTATTAAAATACTAAAGAATATTTCTAGTCCAGATGAGTGAGGGTAAAGCTTGGGTACTGGGGTAGAACGTAATTCCATATTAGATTTATTGATTTGATATAGCCAGCGCACAGTAACTAATGAAGTATTACCTACTTGAAAATATTTTGAGCATAAACTTTTATTGCTCATAATCATGTCAACATGCAATCACACAACTTCAGACTTTCTGTTGTCCCATCACCTCATTCCTTGCGTTGAGTGGTAATAAAATTCACTGCATCTTTGGTATGCATGGTGATTGCGCCATTCGTGTTGGGAGGGTGTTGGCTAGATGAAAAAGCATTCAGTAATCAATCTCTTTCTCCCCTTCAATTAATTATATTGGGCTGAAGTACCGCGGTTTCATCCCATCGCTTTATGGGGTTGTGCGATAATGGATGTATTGTATAGCTGGGCTGCGTTCTTTCCTAGATTATTGATCTTATTGGGGGTCTTTCATTCTATATTTAACTAAATCCCTATGTTCTACTAATCTGATTGACCCTGATCGGCTAGTTTGTCCTTTGTCCTTGACCTCATAGTCATCACATTGAGTTTGGTAGATTAGATTATTTGGTATAATTGAATGTATCGGATCCTTAGGCGGACAAAGCGCATCTGTGAATGAGTTTGTAGGTTTAAATGCCACCCTAACTAGTTCCAGACTTGTTGAGAATTCTACATAAAGTTTCTGATATTTCTTCCTTGCAGAGTAACAGAATGAAGGCTTTGAACTCCTTTCTACTCATGTCATCTCTATTATTCCTATTCGTATTACTGTTATCCTTTCGTTTCTTATGTGTTTGTACGAATTTCTCAATAAACTGTGAAGAATGATTATTAACACTTCTTTTATATTAGAAGTAATATTCATCATGGACTGACATCAGTCGGTGAACCATTGGAAATATGGGAGCACTGGACAGCTGTTTCGTCCCAGTACAGGAATCCTCAGCAGTACACACCCACGACCCAGGTAGGGATCGAGCTCAGGACCTTCAGGTTTCACAGCGAACGCGTAAACCACTCAGCCACTCGGTCGGTTTCCAGTGGTTCACAATTTCCAATTTCTGTCAGTTCACGACATAGCGCGACTATCACTCGAGGTCTTCAGTAAACATCCACTTCACTTCCGACTGGTGACCCCACAGGTCACGGCTTCTGGGTGATAGTCGCGCTATGTCGTGAACTGACAGAAGTTGGAAATAGTAAACCACTGGAAACCGACCGAGTGGCTGAATAGTTAACGCGTTCGCCGTGAAACCTTAAGGTCCTGAGTTCGATCACTAACTGGGTCGTGGGTGCGCACTGCTGAGGAGTTCCATACTAGGACGAAACAGCTGTCCAGTGCTCCCAGGTTTCCAATGGTTCACCAACTGATGTCAGTCCATGATGAATACTACTTCTAAAATAAAAAAATCCCCATTCATCTCAAAAATACACTTCTTTTATATGTTTCAATTGTTTGTTGAAGTCCTTCCACTGACTAGTGAGTTTTCTATTTCTGTTGTCTAGACATTTGACTAAACCTGCCTTAACTGACATTGAATGAGATGACCTGAAGACTAGATACCTATTACAACTGTTAGAAGAAATCGAAACATGTAAAAGAGGTGTTACTAATGAACAGTTATCTTCTATTGTTCATTAAGAAATTTGGAAGCAACAACACAGGTAGGAAGGAGTTCAAAGCCTCTATTGTATTATCCTATAAGGAAGGTATATCAGAACCTTCACGTAGAGGTTCTCAACAAGCTGGAATTAGTTAGGATGGCTGTTGAACCTGGATGAGGTCGTGTGAGGAAGAAATGAAAGCTTATAGGCAGTCGTGGACCCAGGTTAAAAAGACTACAGAGGACAGAGTGAAATGGTGACGCGCTACTGAAGCCCTATGCTCCACTAGGAACCCATGGGACTAATAATAAATAATGATAATGAATCTGCAAACCCACTCATATATAAACTTTGCCGGCTTAAAGATCCGATAGATCCAATTAAGCAAAATAATCTAATCTATCAAATTCAATGTGCTGACTGTGAGGTCAAGTATATAGGTCAAGCTAGAAGATCCGGGTCAGTTAGATTATCGGAACATAGGGATTTAGTCAAGTGTAGATTGACAGACCTCAGTAGGATCAACAATCTAAAGAAATAACTCAACTCAACTACTCAGTGCATGGACTAACTTGCAATCACACAATCGGGTAGGATAAAACCTCTATACTTAAGTCCAACATAGGGAGGAGGAGAGAGATTGATTACTGAATCTTTGTTCATATAATTAACACCCACCCAACACGTGTAAATAAGAATGATGCAACACCGATACATACTAGAAATATGGAAAGTTTTACTACCAGTGAAAACAAAGAGTATGCAATGACAGGATTATTAAAATCAGCTTTTGAAAGCTGTTTCATTACACATTGATATACTTATGAGGGATAAGTAATTTGTCCTCGAAACGTCATACCAGACCCGATCCCTAGAAAAGTGTATAGGGCGTATTGTACAAAAAACGACCTAATACGATGTAATTGTTTAACACTCCTCGTCTTTATCCGTTTTTCTTTCTTGTGGTTACAGTATCATTATGTAACAGTTCCCCAGTAAGTCTGTGTTGAAATTGGTATTTTGTTTTGTTTTCTCTACACCCTGTCCTGCTCACTTTGAAATCAGCAGCCTACAAATTTGGACGCTTGGATGAATCTATTCTCTGATCTTGGGCCAATTGGTAATCCTGACTTGATATCGAAGAAGGACGGTCAAATTACAGATGCTTGACACACACACACACACAAACAGGTTATCAACATCTCTTCTCTAAGCATCTGAATGATGATTTCATGTTTTTTTATTTATGCTTAATTGCCTGTTACTTGTCTGTCGTCATTTATACACATATATACATATAATAAGTTGAACTATTCTGCCAATTTTGCTGTTGTTGTAATATGTATTCCACCACCCCCCCTGCACCCAGCCACTCCTTCGGCCTTCTTTTCCAACCACTGTATGGACGGTTTGTTGTGGTACCCTCAAGGGCTTTCTTTATATCCTACCTTTTATATTGTGACCATGTTTTTTCCCAACTTAGTGAGTTTTTCAAGTTATAACTGTGATAAGTGCTACCGTCATTATGCAATAATATGTTGGTGGCAGAACGCGTGTATGTAGTTATATTAGCTTATAATATACAGGAAATGTGTTCATCCCGTTATACATTCCAAGTTTTCTTATTCATTGGTATAGCTCATTTTTGCGGAGTTCCCCTCCATGCACGTGAGTGTATGTGTGTTCGTGTTTACGCGTTAAACTTCTGTGTATTTTTCAGCTCACTTTTCCTTCTTATTGTCATTTGTTTGTTATTTTGAGGAATCAGTAATAATGATGTGGATAACAACAATGTCTTCTTTATATATCTCATCAACTTGACTACTCTTTACATAAATAAATAAAAATGTCGAGGTTACTACTATTGGACAAGTCACTTGATGTCGCTATTAACCATCGTCGACTGAGGAGCTGTGGCTCCATTAGTTTATGGAGATGGCTTTCAAACAGTAAATGAGTCACTAGTTTGAACCCACCTACTAAGGTTGTTTGGGCAACCAGGTAAGTAGTATCGTTAGCCCTAATATTTAAAATTTGTGGCTCACTGCCTACTGCACGAATGTGTCCACAAGGTTGTTGTGCGCATTATGATTCGATTCGATCGTCGACTGAATGAGCTTGGACATGTACAAATCTGTGAAGTCTTTGATTGTTGACTATCTGATGAACACCTTCAGTGGTATTTTGAAAATGTTTAGGGTGCGTTTCTCGCTATCCAAACGTAAACCGTTGCTCCAGGATTAGTCTTCATCGGTGTCCTGGCTAACAATAGGGAGTGAAGTGGTTGAATGCATGGGCACTACACTTACCTGAGAAGTTGAATCAGTCCAATTGTGTTGATCAGTGACCTCCGGAATCTCTGCACGGATGAACAAAGGCTCGCTTGGTTTTTCGCCAACTTACGCCATCTGTAGCCCCATCGCCATACCTGACTTCCTATTATGGATCGAGCGTAATGTGCTGCCGTTCTCTCTGTTCTACTCCATGACTATGAAACATTGCTATTAAAGGTAGAAGACATGAGAAGTCTTCAGGTGTTTGACCATCGTCGCCTTCGTAGCATAAGCCATGCTTCGTAGTGTCAGCTCTCTCCCTTCTTATTCAGTTTTGTCATAGACGTGCTTATGAAAATTCCCATCTCCTTGCTGCACTTTACCGAGACTCCATGTCTCAGTCGATTACTCAGTGGACCCAGAGTACACATATGACGCAGTCCTGTTAAGTGAAAATGCTGACAAGATACAACATCTACCAGACAGCTTGAGTAGCAATTAAGCGATGTTCGCGATGTGTTCTACACCACACCACATCACTCAAATTCAAATTGTTACTCCAACACTGGCTTTCAATGGTGCCTTGTCTAGGAGTAAGTAGTGAAGCGGTTGAGCACGTTGAAAACTCCACTTAATTGAGAAGTCAGATGTATCAGTGCTGATTGGTGAGTGGATGAAGTAAACTATGTACGGATACAAAAGGCTTGCATGGTGTCCGCCAACTTACATCATCTATGGTGCCACCGTGATGTCAGGTTGCTCACTAAGAGTCTGTAGTGAACTGCTAAGAAATCCGGTCTGTCCTTCTTTATATCTGTAAGAGATTGTCTTAAAGGTGAGGAACATGTGAAGGATTCAGATTTTTGACCATCGTTGCTTGCGTAGCATATTCCATGTGTCATGGTACTACTATCTTGTCAGTAATGCTGAAGTCAGGCATAGAATTATAGGTAAAAGACGTTAGTCAGTTCATAAGGTTTTACACCGTTATTGGCTCAAATATGTAGGAGGTCTCTTATGTATACCTAGTCACTTTTTAACCGATTGTAAAATATTATCTGAATTAGATATGGACTTATGAAATGTTAAAGGTTGCCAAACAAAACATGTAAACAGTTTGGGTAGTCCCTGAGTGTTGTTCTATGCCATGCAGAGAAATTCAAACTTCTCGGTAGGAGTTTGTGTCCCAGATGCAATCATTGATTAGAGACACTAGTCGTTGTGTCGAAAAACCGATATCAGTGTTGCAGGTGTATGCCTCCGCGATACCGCATTGTCTATTAAGGGTCTAATAAACTGTGCTGCAGTTCGCTATGTTCTACTGTATGGCTGTGAAACATGGCCACTAAAGGTACAAGACATGAGAAGTCTTCAGGTGTTTGACCACCTCTGCCATCGTAGCATAGGCCGTGTTTTATGGTGTCTCCATATCAGTAACAGAGAAGTCAGGTGTAAAGTTTTTGGGAGGAAGGGCAAGATAGTTGTTGAGGTTATGAACCTTCATCGATTGAGGTGGCTGGCTGGGATATGTGTTACGCATGCCTAGTCACCGTCTGCCTCTTCGCACAATATTGGTTGAAGTAGGTTCAGACTGGAAAAATGCTCAGGGTAGCCAGAATAAAACATGCCAGGTGGCTTAAATTAAACTTCACTTGACTCAGGTAATTCAGCAAAGCATATGCCAGAAAATATTTAAAAGAAGTACTCAATAGGCGTAAAAATGTAATTATTTTTCAGTGTTCTACAAATGACTGGACAATGAATGATATATGAACTATGTACATATATTGACTAAAATAAGGGAGAGAAATTCAACGCTCCCTGGTAATTTGTTCTTTCACTCTGTCACCCTCGAGACATACTGAATAGTCAGCGGATTGATTATTCAGTAAATATTGAATGCAAATTGTAACTATTGTACTCAGATGTGTTTATTTGTGAAATGGAGTAGGCCAATTTAGTAACATTTTAGTAGCATTATTAGCTGTCTACGTGATACCTCTCTGTCTGCTAGGTGCGCTAAGATGGAACTTTTCCCTATATTCAAGTTCCGCTTTCCGAACCAAGGTGGTAAATGTACAATTAGTGTTCATTTCATCTTCAACAGTAATCTGTACAAATATACTGAAGAGGTGGCTATAGCATCACCATTGAACCCAATATTTTCAGACATATTTTTGGCGAAATTGGATAAATAGTCTTATTAAAGATTTAATTAGCCATATGGAGTTGTGCTGTCAATATATGTATGATACTTTTCTAGTCCTTGATAAGTTTCTATGCATTAATTTTATTCTAGAGCATTTCAACAGCCCTCATCCATTAGTTCATTTTACATATGAAACTGAAATCACTGATTCGATGGATTTTCTTGATGTGCTAAAAACAAGAAACAAGATGGCTGTATTCTGAGAAAACTGACGTCTAAGGCGCATCTATATACGCTTACTCAGCTTTGTGCCGATGTGAAATACAAATGTAATATAATGAGATGCCTCGCATTTAGAATAAGGTCGATTTATCCCAATGAGTGTGTGAAAAAAGAGCTGTTGTATATTCATGTTATTCTAGATGGATATCTTGAAAGCTTCATCAAACCTACCATCAATCACAATAGTCCTAAACCAGAATTGATGACAGTGCAAAAGAAGCCTTTGTTTTATGTTTGCAGTTCAAAGGAGACTCCAAATGACATCCTATCACAACTTCTAGCTAGAGCAGTCAACAGAATATCGCCTTTGCATATCTTTCAGTAGTCTACCGATGCTTAATCTGCAACTGAAGGATAGCCTACCTAATCTTAACTCTTCATCCTGTGGAACAAGTTACATAAGCTGTACAATTAAGCAGGTGCGTCTCCGGATACAAGAGCATTTACTTGGCTTGGTTCGGAAAGAGCAAAGTGAAAGTGGTGAAAATTTGTAACACATCAATAACTCAGAAAAACTTTACAGAGAGCTGATGATAAATCCACGAAAAAGTAGATTCTAATTTAACAGACAGAGTATTCGAGAGAGCACCTTCCTCAGAAATCCATACTAGGAACTACCTTAGAGCAATGGATTTCAGGTGGGAGAACAATACTTTTACACAGACTTATGCTTAACTTTAGGCTAGCTGTGATATCAAATTCACGATGTTGAATAACTTCTATGAAATGTCTATGATTAATTAGAAATTCAGTTCAGTTGTATCTAGAAGTCATTGTTAGTAATTATTGTGTTTTGTAACAACATAGAAGTGAATAGTTTTTACAGGTCAAATAGTAATCCAGAGGATAGAAATGGATATTCAAAATTGTTGACATAGGAATGAGAACTGAATCGACTGAGCGTCGATCACATCATTGAAAACAAGATAGTTAATAGCACTTATGCAGACAATAAAAAAACAAGGTGTATATTCAGATGAATAATAATGATAACATTGGCAATAGGAATAAGGTTAATTAGACGAGACAAATCAGGGAAAGAAAACGAAATATGAGATGAGTGATAATTAATAGTGAAGAGTAAAATAAGAAAGATTAAATATGATAAGACAATGTTGTAATTATTACCATGGCAGATTCATGCTGACTACCATTTCCTTCTCATTCCTATGTCAACAATTTTGAATATCCATTTCTATCCTCTGGATTACCATTTGACCTGTAAAAACTATTCACTTCTATGTTGTTACACCTGAATCTGCCTCAATCTACTTTATATATATATATATATATATATATATATATATATATATATATATATATATATATATATATATATATATATATATATATATATATATATATACTCTTTTCCGTTGCTTAACGGTTTATATAATCAAGTATATAGAGATCCAGCTGACGAGTACTACTGAAATTTATGATTTCATTAAATCCTGCTTTTTCCATACTTGTTGCTTGTTTTAAATTGTGTTTTGTCATTTAAATGGACGTAATGATGATGAGTTAATCTTACACTGGACAAGATGACTGAACACGACTGATCAATTGTTAATTATCCTATCATATCTGTAAATAAAAGTCAGAAAACCAAAAATCAATTATTAACAACAGTCATTCAAGTACCTTCAGATAGGAATAGTCAGTCAAGGTTAGTATAGCGTTGATAGAATTTTGTTCCATCCACTACTATGGCCTCAAAGTGTTCGGATTCTCATTCTTTCACTCTTATAATATGACCCAACAGGGGACGTTTTCAGTAGTGATTTTATCTTCGAATACTCTATGTCTATGCAGAAATTATATTCCTCGAATTAAACGTAACAACACTTATACAGTCATCATAACAAAATTCAAGTATTCGCATGAATAAGTATAGTTGGTGACAGCTAAATAAAGTGCAAGTACATGATATGGTCAAATGTTGGAAATATCAGAAATTTGAC